GCGATGAGTGGCCAGCTCCACTGTGACCCTAAGTCATCAGCGATGAGTGGCCAGCTCCACTGTGACCCTATGTAATCAGCCATGACTTCCCAGCTCCACTGTGACCCTACGTCATCAGCCATGACTTCCCAGCTCCACTGTGACCCTATGTAATCAGCAATGACTTTCCAGCTCCATTGTGACCCTATGTAATCAGCAATGACTTTCCAGCTTCACTGTGACCCTATGTAATCAGCAATGACTTCCCAGCTCCACTGTGACCCTACCTCATTGGTGATGACTTCCCAGCTCCACTAAGACCCTACGTCATCGGTGATGACTTCCCAGCTCCACTGTGACCCTACATTGTCGGAGATGACTCGCCAGATCCACTGTGAGAAACCTGATAGGGTCCTTAATGGTGAAATGACAGGCCGGGTGGGACCTAGTGATCGCCGTGCACTTGTGGTACCCTCTCTAGGCATCTAGACTGTTCCTGAGAGAGATTATTATTGGCCTCTCTTTTCAAGCACCGCCCCACCCCTCCACCACCGCAAAAATATTTTTAATTTACTCAGAACTACATGAACTTCTGGAAACACTTTTCTCGCCGTTTTCTTGTCCTCAGCCCGTTTTGTCCTTTTCCATATTGTTTTGCCTTAAGCCTTTTTATTCTTAGCACTCAATCCTTTTGAGACTAATTAATAAACTCTCCGTTGGATGTCGATGCTGCCTGTATTTAACACAGTACGTTTCTTTCTAGGATTGAGATGTGTTCGTGGAAGCTGCATAGTAAAGGGTCCTATGGGTTCTAAAGCTAACTGATTCCTCTTCTGTTTCCCTGTATCAGGAACTAAAGACGGAGGAAGCTATGACCTACACAGGTATTCACACTTCATTCTCAACAGCTTCTTTCCCGTAACTGCATGGCCCGTCATTTCAGCTCGCTTCTGTTTCTTGCCATCTCGCACAGAGTGCCGGTTGTGGTGCATGTGTGTCGTAATGCCATCCTCATTCCCATCCAGTCCCTGGCTCCAGACCCATCCTGCTTCTAAATCAACTCAGCTGTTCCCCCCCCCAAGAGATGCCCTTCTGAGCAGTTCCTCTCTGCCCTGCATGCCCTTCCTGTTTGCCTTTTGAATGATGCTTTAAGGCAAGGAATGCTGGGACAGGAGAATGGAGATGGATTTCCTGTGTTTTGTTTCCACGATTGGATGGAGAGGCTGCATGGGATTGAGAGATTTTGTTTTTTCATTTAAGAATACTGCTAATAATTTTAAAAAAAATAAAAAAAAGCACTAAGGGAAAATTTGAGAACACTCTGAAGCCGAAGTCAGAAGAAACAAAGAATTTCCCTGTGAGCAGTCATTGATTAACTTTGGTGGCAAAAGCAGTGGTCATAAGAAGAATTCAGATGGTTCTGCAGGATGAAGGGAAAGGAAGAGACGGTGTCAGGAGTTAGGGGCAAGGTGGTCATGGTCAAACAGCAAGTTCCTAACATACACAAGAATGATAGTCCTGACACATGGAGCTTCATAAATAACCTCACCTTGATATAACCCCCAACCCACATCTTTCTCTCCTACATGGAGGAAGGCATATGCCCGGGAGTTTATCCACTGATCACCCAGAAATGTCAACCATTGTTGATTTTCTTCACTGAGCCTCGGCTCTGGAGGACTTACCTGAAACGTGCCAGTTTTGGGGTGTATGGACTGTCCTTACCATCAATGCTGGGGCTTTGGTGTGTCCAAACTCTAGGCAATGCACTTGTTTAAGGCCCAACTTCCTACCAAAGCGGGATGCTTTAGTTGGCACCACCCACTCTGATACCTCCTCAGAGAAACTAGAGAGCCTCCGGGGATACCTCCCACCTACTTCCTGAGCTGGAATCTCACATGCTTCCCTTTGGAAGCAGCTCATTGATCCAGAGAAGCTAAATGACATCAGGAAAGGCAGGGAAAAACCTGGGCTATTTTGGGCATTTTATGGTTGCTTCTCCATCCTTCATCTGCTCCTGTACCAACCCTATGCCATCCTCAGAAAATATATGCAAGATGGAGCCAATACCTTAAGGTGGCTGTCCCCAAGAAGAGGCTAACGAGGCACTGTCCAAGCTGGCCTGGAACTTAGTCAGTGACCCCAAAGGATGACCTTGAATTTCCGACCCTCCTGCCCCTCCTTCTAAGTGCTAAGATTATGACCATGCGTCACCGCATCCATTTTACATCTTGTGGGGACTGAACCCGGGGCTCTATGTATGCAAGGCGAGCACTCCGTCAACTGGGCTACATCCCTCCCTAATGTCTACTAATTTTTAATGTTCTATTAACATGGCATTTATAGAAAAGCTGTTGGAATAGATCTAAGTGCCCCATTTGCTTCCCGTCTCCCATTTCCTCTCTCTTCTCATATAAACGCGCTTTCTACATCAGCTCTGGGTCATTTGCAGGTATTGTGTCCCTTGGTGTAGAAATGTTTTACTTTGTGCTTCCCAAGGACATGTTTGCCCATGACCGTCGAACACTAACTAAATCAGGCCATCAACACGAACCAGTGCCATTATCTAATCCACATTCCGAGGCCACATCTTGCCAAATGCTCCAATCAGGTCGTGTTTATGGTGTTTGGTTTCGGGTCTCGGATTCAATCCAGAGTGGTATATCATATAAAATTGTCGCCTTTCTTAAGTGTCATCCCTACTGGAACAGTTTCCCAGCTTTTCATTGTTGGTGGTGACATTTCATAGGCCGCCAGCCAGTTTCTTTCATAAAATGCTCTCAACTTGAGGTTTGTCTAGAGTTTGCACATCTAACTGGGAGTTGTCTGTCTGGGAGAGAACTATTATTGCAAACAGCGCCGTGCCCTGGGAATATCTTCTTTGGGTTTTTGTTATTTGGCTAACACATTGTTTGGGAAACTAGTCCTCTGTGCAGTTGCTTGCCTTTCTCGCTGATGAACAGCCGATTAGCTTTGGCGGGCAGTTGAGACTTCTGCCTGGTCGTTCACTGTGCTTGATTTTGTCTGATGTTGGAGCAAACACTGTATGCCTGAGCCCCACTCCAGCCTGAGGTTATTTATTATTAATATGATGGCTGCAAATGGATTTTTTTCCCAACTCCATTGTTCCGCCTGTGTTTCTCAATGTGTTCTACCTTGAAAAGTAACTTCCCATATCATCTATCACTTGTGTAGGGATGGAGCAAAGCTTCTCAGTTTCCTCGGGATATTCTTCTCCTATCATGTAATGACCACTATTGTTTCTTTAAGTCCTCTGTGTGATTCTGGAAAGATTCCCCTTGTTTTTGAATACTTGTTTGGGACCCTGAAATAGGTCCAGGGTCATCTTATATCTTTGTTACCCAACATGCAGCAGCAGCCATCCCTGTTTGGGACGTCTGGAAAGTGAGTGCCAGATGTGGACTCCAGATTGCACAGCTGCTGCCGAAGTGTCTGTGCATGCACGCCGGTCCCTTCACCTGTGCAGAGTGTCTCAGAAGTGAACTGTCCTTCCATCGTGACCTCACCTTATCTTTAGTTCTAATGAGGGAGCATTTAGGCTATCACCATCAAGAGAGAGTTAGAATTTGGGACCGAGTGTGATTGCCATCGTCACACTAAGGAAACAGTCATCTATTTTCTTGCCAGTGCCTTGCCATCAGTGAAAACCAAATGTGTCAAACTGATTATCAGCATCTATGAGATGCCCAGATAATTTTTTCTCTATTGATTTATGAGTAAGTTACATCTATGAATTTATCTACTAAGAAAAACAAACCTTTCATTCCTGGACCCAAATTTTGAGAGTCGCTGTGCATGCTTTTCTTAATAGAATATTGAATTCTTTTCACTAGAGGTTATGAGGAACCTACATTTACCCGCAATATCTGTCTATAATCTTCCTGCTCTTGGTGCTGGCACTACTGTTCAATTATGATCTTAGTTTCTTGTGGTCACTGTAGAAATCTGCGGACACATCTCCCAGCGACATGTACTTATTCCCTTATGTTTCCAGGGACATGAAGTTTAAAATGTTTCTTCCGGGCTTAAAGCTGTCAGTAGGCTTGCATTCATTTCAGGGCTTCAGAGAACTCCGTCCTTCAGAGAACTTCGTCCTTTCTGGTTTCTTAAGTGGCTTCATCCATTCCTCGACCACAGCTTCATCTCTGAAGGCGGCGATATGAGCATCTATTGTTCCTGTCCGCCTCCATCCCTCTCCCACAGCCGAGTCTCCTCTGGCTGTCCTGCTTCTCCACACGGCCATCTCCCTAAGGTCCCTGGTGGCTATCTTGACTTCACCTGAACATTTCCCCATCAAGATGCGTGACGCTGTCACACTTGTGGCTCCCTTTTGCCTCCTAAGGTGGTGTCCACGGCTTCTGAGGAGTTGGATGTGGGCGTCTATGAGGTAAAGGGAGCCATTCTTCTGTCTTACTCCACCATCGGTGTTGTATTTGCTTCACCAATGGTGTCCTGATGCCTTCGCTTCCTTTCTGTTTTCTAGAACAGTTTGTAGAGCATCAGGGCTCTAGTGGGGCACCATCCTCCCGAGAAACCACATGGACCCAATGCTTCTTTACTGAGTGGTTTCTAAAAACCTCTTATTGGATGAAAACTGCTTTGTTTCAGCTTCCTATCACTGCTACACTGCCAGGTCAGCTTGAGCAAGCTGCTTCCTGAGCAGGTATAAAGTATTCGCATCTGAAGGACCTGGATGAAGAGGAGGTTGAGGTGACATGAAGGACTGCACAGTTGCACCAGCCTCTCCCCTAATCACTCTTCCTTAGACAGCTTGGAATCCTCCCAATGGCGGTCCTCCGTCAGCCTCCCTTGATGGTGCCATTTTCTCCTCTCATTCTCAACTTCTCAGCCAATTCCCTATGGAACCAGGACTCTGAACAGTCTGTGCAGTACACTGTGTATCCAATGGATCTATTTAAACTATGGAACAGCAGTTGGGCATGGTGGCGCGGGCCTTTAATCCCAGAACTCCAGAGGCAGAGGCAGAGGCAGGCTGAGCTCTGTGAGTTCAAGGCCAGCCTTATCTACAGAGAGTTAATTCTACAACAGCCAAAGCTTCGCAAAGAAACCTTATCTTCAAAAACCAAAAAATAAAATAAAATAAAGAAAAAGAGAAAGAAAGAAAAAAAGGAAGGGAAGGGAAAGGAAAGGAAAGGAAAGGAAAGGAAAGGAAAGGAAAGAAAGGAGAAATAGCTGTTGGCTTAAGAAGCAGAAAGTTTCTATGGGTGTGAAAATATGTCACTCAGCAGTTCAAATTGGTCAATATCTTCTGTTTCAAACTTTAAAAAAAAGATTTCTTTATTTATTATGTATAGTGTTCTGCTTGCATGTGTGCCTGCAGGAGACCAGAAGGGGGCACCAGATCTCATCATATATGGTTGCTGGGAATTGAACTCAGGACCTCTGGAAGCGCTCTTAACTGCTGAGCCATCTCTCCAGTCCCTGTTTCAAACCTTTGATGATGTTTTTGAACATTTCATCTAGCGCTGGAACTGCAGAGCCCAGTCTCGAGAATCTGTTACTGTCCAGACCCAAGAAGCACCGTGACCCCTATGTAGTCCAGGTGCACAGAGCCTTCCCTGGGGAAATGTTCCCCACCACCATCTACATCCTTTTCACTTCTGGTGGGCTATAGGAAAGCTCTCATCATCACCCCTGACGGAAGGCGTGTGAGGATAGTACGTTTAGATTTGGACCATCTCCACATTACTACAGCCCGTGCCCCGTCCACTCCTGTCATACACATGGCTAGTACCTCACGGAGGCTCACCTAAAGGGCCCCTCAGTGATGCCAATGATGTTCCAGGAAGTCCTCGTACCTATTCCAGTCCATCTGATTGGTCTTGGGGGCGGGGCTTCTTTTAGTACGTGCCCAGGTGTTTCACCTTGCGTCTCCCGTCACTCCTTTCTCATGAAGATAGTTGCTCTTTTTCCCCCTCTGAAACTTAGCAAGGGTTACATTCCTTTTAATTGGTCGCTCTTGTTTTCTTGTGGTGTCAGACTGTTTTTCTGCAGCCTTGGGACCTGAAGGAGAGCTTGGCTGACTATAAGACTCTTAGTACAAACTATTTTCTTACCCAAGACAGTTTCGCATCCTCGGATGCTTGATTGACCACACTGCTGCAGTGTGGCTGACTTGGGCAGGGACACTTTTATCAAGATGCTATTGTTTATTCTTATTTCTTTTAGAAATATTTTTCTTTTAGAGTATTTGTGTGTAGATCAAGTTTGCTCTTACCTCATTAATTTGTAGAGTTTATGAGATTTCTGGTTTAAAGGGCATCTTTCTTGTCAGTATGACCCAATATATACAATATTCTTACCATTTAACTACTTGGAGCTGGGGGTGGGGGAAGTCACGTGCCCTCCATTGGACACGAAATGCCTTCTCTTTTGCTGCCCCATTCCTCTCGCACCAGCTTCCTGGAAGCATCCTTTTTCCTCTCTTTGTTTCCTCTCTCCCTGGATCACGCTTTACAGAGACTGCCAGCTTGAGCCCCTCCCAGCACCCTCCCTTGCCATCAGGGCCCTGACTCACCTGGACTCTTGACAGTGTCTCACTTGTGAGGATGACATTTCTTTCCAGGCAACTTCAAATCAACCTTGAGTTCTGCCCTCACTTCTCTGCCCTACTCTTCCCCCAAGGCTGGTGCCAGAGTGTGGTGCACAAACTCTGGGGGCGGGAGATGGGTGGGTGTTCATTCTTGGGTAATCCTTCTTTTCTTTCCAGCTTACAGGTAACCTGAAGATCCCAGCCGTCTCTCTTACAGTTCTTCCAAAGGTGTGGGTTTTGTGTAGCCTTCTGACTTTCCTTTTTGCTGCATAGCTGTGAGGAATTCGTTTCACCAGTCTGGGGTGCCTTTTCCTAGATTTCATCTGAGCACAGTGGAGTCAGGGAAAGCTGGTATGCTATGCGCACGCAAGAAACCCTCTTGCTCAGAGACTCCCTGGAAGCAGACGTCTGTGAAGAGTCTTATAACTGCAGAAATATGTCTGAGTTAGTTGTATTTACATTCAAAATCGATTTTGCACTGAGTACCAAGGACTATAAAATGCAGATATTGCCCTAAGTATTTGCCTACTAATTTAAAATACCTTGTAGGCTATCAATTTCTTGGAAGCCAATGAGTAGAAATGGCTTTGTCCTGTAACTGTTCTCCCATTGGACAGCTAGGGACCCAGGTGAGCAGGCTCAGTCTCTTCATCGGGCAGAAGTGTCATTTCCCCACTAGGCATGCTTATTTGGCAGAGGTTTTCAGTTGCTGGATAGTTTTTCCAATTTTGGCTTTAAAGATGATATTTCATGTATTGAGGTTGACCTCGAACTCTCTGTGTAGCCAAGGATAGCCTTGAAATTCTCATTCTCCTGCATCTGCCTCTTGAGTGCTGTGATTACAGGGGTGTATCTGGTTTTATGTGGTCTAGGGATCAAACCCAGACTTTTGTGCATGCTACAAAACACTTTGCCAACTGACTTCCATTCCCAGTCACCTCCTTTTCCAATTCTGTCATTCAGCCACCTTTGCATGTAAAGATCACTCCTCAACATACCAATACTAGGAGAGAATACTTTTCGTTATTGCATTTCAAATTAATCTGTAAAACAATTACATTGCTCATCCAATTGAGTCAACATCATTTTGTTGCCCTAATGAGGTCCCTTGGTTTCTCTTTTCACAGAGGACAATTATGGGATGGATGGGAAGGTTAGTCAGCCCAGCATTGCTTCAGACACCAACTGGCAAGGCCTGGAGGAGTTATCCGGTGTGGATGACGACACCAGTGAGTACAGACATAACCCTAGACTCAGTCTGGAGGACTGGACTAGTTACCTGAAGGCTGTAGACAGAACATTTGCACCGCTGAACCCTCACTCCGAGCAAAACAAAGCAAATGGGACTCCAGCTGCTCAAAGCAGTGGCTTCTCAGTCACCTCTGTTGAGCTCTTGGTGTCAGCAGAGATGGCCTCTGCAGAGTCAGGTGAAGACCCAAGTCACGTGGTTGGGGAAGCGCCTCCCTTGACCTTGCCAGTCAACCTCCAAACCCTGCATTTGAACAGACCAACTTTAAGTCCAGAGAGAAGACTTGAATGGAATAATGACATTCCGGAAGTGAACCATTTGAATTCTGAACACTGGAGAAAAAGTAGAACTGAAAACCCGACGGGATGGGAAGAAATCCGCTATCCTGAAGGTGACATCAGTGGCAATGGCAGGACAGAGCTGGTGTTCCGGTCTCATGGCAGGCTGCAGCCCTACAGCCGACGTCAACGAGAACGTCCCCAGGATGTGGAGCCGGAAGATCAGTGGCATCTTTGTGTTCCTTCTGGCAGAACTAATGTCCATCGAGTGTTCAGTGTGTCCAGTGTGGAGCAGCCTGTTCACTCCAGCCACACAGAGGGAACACTGACCAAGATACAGAAGAATGGCACAAAGGAGCGGGTGCCGAACCTAGAAGGCAGTGCCTCCTCCCCTCTCCCCTCTGATTAGATGAAATGTTGCCCAAACCTTTCTATGTTTTTATTAGTAAACTAGTGGCGGCAATCGTAACTGCCAACATTCGGGACTCCCCTGGGTACATGTGCGCAGCAGAAATCCGTGGGCACACGTGTGGAAAATGCTCACACATGGACTGCCTGGAACTCACGGTTTTCCCAAGAAGAGAACGGTGGGGCGCATTTTCTGTTTTGTTGCTTTGTTTTTTGGTACTAAAACAGTATTATCTTTTGAATATTGTAGGGACTTGCGTATATAAAGTCTATCCGGTCAAAATGGCTAGGATTGTGCCTTTGTAAGTTTGGAAAGCTTGACACCCTTGGTGAGTCTGTCAACACACCTTCCCTGCCTGCATCATGAAGTTTGGATTAGTTTCTAACCACTGGAATTTTTCGACATCATCATCTTTGGTTCAGTGATTTTTGCACTTTGAGTTTGGAATACTGTGTCTTCTTGGATGCTAGTGTTTTGTTTTGGTTTTTTTTTTTTTTGGTTTTTTTTTTCTAGTGGGCTTGTCAGAATCACACTGTTTGTCCTATTGTAGGACAAAAGAATAGACTCCCAGCAATGACACACAGTATGGATGACATATTGTTTAATGTATGCTTTTTTTGAGAAAACATTGCATGTATTTTATACCTCGACGCGCTAAGATTGATTAGCAGAAAGGCATGACTCACAATATTGGTGGTTAAAAAATAAAATAAGTGAAAAAGTAATAAACAAGACAAAAATTACCTGCTCTCTCTCTGTGCTTACTGTGTGCTCAATACCACTAAATTTTAAAAGAAGGGACAGGGCAAAGACCACTTTATTTTAATTTTTTTTTCTTGGATTGGTTAATAAGCTTAAGCGTTGGGGAAATGTGTGCAGTTTTGACTTTCTCCAAGACAGTTTTGCTAAACTGAAATCATGAATGCTGTAACACTTAAACCCACCGTAGAGAAGGTTTGTTTTATGAACATTGTGGTAGGTGAATATTTTTAAAACTGTCAGCAAACTCTGGGTTTTCCAAAAGACATAGTTCAAAACTGCTTTTGAAAATCTGTACTCTGGATATCATCCTGTCTCTCTTGGACTTTTAGAGACCAGTTGAAGGATTACCTCATTTGATCGACCTTTTCCACTTCTCAAGGTCTTCTTGTTGCTGCTGTTGTTTAGCTTGACAGTAATTCCCTTTTTACTTTTCAAGAATTCAAACATGGAGATACATTGTCTTTTCCTTAAGTGTTTGAGGTAAACACTTTTCAAGAAAATTTCATGTGACATAGTTGAATCCTTGGTAACTTTAAGTCTTCATCATAGTCTGTGCATAGGCTAAACCTAACTAGCTGTTTATCAGATGTGGCTGGCAGCTGCCAACTGAAAGAATAAACATATTTATGGTCCTGGATGATGTGCTTTGTAAAGGGATTTCAAGATATTAAGAAGCATACTATGTTTTTTTTTTTTTTGAAAATCCTATGTAATGCTCTGTGATACTTTTATAGAACAATTCTGGCTTCAGGAAAGTCTAGAAGCAACATTTCTTGAATAAAAGGTGTTGAAACATTTTACCCGTTTCAGAGAAGTAAGTAACCTTAAGTCAGCTTTTGTGGGCCACACACTCCTTACAAGTTAACTTGAGTCTAGTTCTCACCTTACATGACTAAGTGCTAGTGATACTTGTCAAATTACCCCCAGACCCATGCATTGTAGACCGTTCTCTGTAAGGACCTTTGCGGATTTGCCTCCTTGAAGTCCAGGAGGTTGAGGCAGAACACTTCTGTACATAACCTGAGAAGCTGCAAGAGCCCCGAGTCCATCTTCATCATAGAAAAATACTGATTAACTTTTAGGCAAGGGGCCCCACATTGATAATCCCCCATGAGGCTTTGCAAATGCCCTCACTGGTCCTGGGTGGCACAGATAGACTTTTCTAAAAGCAAGAAGGCTCACCCGTGAGCAGCGCCTTAGAATTTGGAAGGAGCCCCGAGCTTTGAGGCAAACCTGACTGCCCGGAAGACCTCCTGTGTTTGTTACTGATAAATCCCAAATGCTTGGGTAGAAGGTTGCTTGGAATGGCCTTCAGAGAAGAAACTAAGAATCTGTGAAATGTCTAGATTAGCGGTTAAAAGAAAGGAGGACCATAGCAAAGCATTGAAAGACTTGCCCATCGGTCCTTGAGGCACACACACACAGCATCATAAAGAGCTAACAAGTTTGGAGGGCACAGTGTTCAAAAACACATCTCTGCCCCGTGCTTCTTCTTTAAATAACTCAATAAGTTGTGTATATGAAAGAGATCCAGTGTGATATTTTTACTCATGCATGTCCTGGCCAACTCTCCCTTTGACCTCACTCCATCCTAAGAGACCTTCCCAGTCTGCAGTAATTATCATTCTGCTTGCCCTCCAACTTTTTTTTTTTAAAGTTTCCACATATGCAGAGAGCCTGCCTATGTGCCTTTCTTCTTTCTTTCCGGTAAAATGTTCCCAGGTCACATGTTGAAATCAAAACAAAACAAAAAAACCAACTCGGCTTGGGTACCATTCAATGAATATTTATGCAGTCCAAACCATGCAAAAAGGTCGTATGTCTCCAGAACTGTGTTCCGAACCTGTTTCAAGGACAGAAGAACCCTTAAAGGCTGGCTGCCTGGGGTCAGATCTTTTGATCTGTGAGGAAGATGGCAGCAGAAGGACTGGGCGGACCGCCATGGTCCATTCCTGCTTGCCATGGACTAAGACAATGAAGAAAGAGGGTCAGAGGCTCTCTGCTTCTTCACATGTGCAGCATACGAGCGTTCCCAGCATACATCCATGCAGTCACAGATGAGAAAAGCCATAGCAGGACCCCATTTGAAACAGCCCTATTGGGTAAGAACAGGAGTGATCAGGATGTTCAAGGACACCTAAACTGCACTGGGACCAGGGCCGGGGCTGGGGCTGGGGTGGGAGGGTACCGCGCAAGTGGTAGAGTGCATGGCAAGCCTGCACAACCCTGGGGCAGATCTCTGGTGCTGCACAGATGGCGTGGCACTGCACACCTGCCATGCACACCTGCATCCAAGACAGGAAGAGAAGTTCAAGGTCATCCTTCACTTCATGGTGAGTTTGAGGGCTCCTGGCACCCTAAATTCATTTTGAAGTCTATTTTTCATGATTTCTGTGAGCATAGGGAAGTACTATCCGCCTTTCTAAGATGGCTGTTTTGCAGAAATAAGCAAGGGCTTTGGGTTAGCAATGGCAGCTGCTCGGTGTATGTGTTTTCTTTTCCCCAACTGTCCAGGGGAAATGTCAGGACTCTCTGCTGAGCGTCTGTGGCCTTGGGAGCCCCAGCTCAGCTGCTACTTCCCCTGACAGATGCCACCTGACAGGCGTTGGCATCTGAGTAGAAAGAAACAGCACCACACTTAGACCATACCTGAGGCTACTCCTGTTCTTCTCTAAAATGGGAGTGAGCAGGGCTGGGGTGTAGCCACTGTTCAGTTTCCCAATGGAGTCGAATTTTGAAGGCAACATATCTTTGGGTGGCAAGTAAATCCCCAAGCAAAACTTCGTGTGCTCCACCCTGGGTCTTTGTGGTCCCCCGTGACCCACAAAACCGCTGTTAAGAGCTACAGCGGCCCCCTAAGCCCACCTGTGGCTTCTCCCACCTCCCAACCCATCCAACACTCAAGAAACACCCGTAGTGTGACGTCATTCCTCGGCGTAGTGAGCCGATCTTTCTCTAAACTGTGTTGCTGAGGACTTTGCCATGACATGTATGATGTTGTACAAAACATGTACAGCGAATGTCCTTTAAAATTCAGATGCTCCCTGTTGCTGTAGAAACATCACACAGAGACTGTGTGCAGAGACCCCTGAAGCTGATTGATGCCTCGATCTGAATCTGAGAAATGTGAACTATGACCCAAAATATTGCTGTTTACTGGGTGTCCTAGCCCTCATACCAAAAACGTCCCAAACTCTCAGGCTAGAAATCTCTACCCTCCCTCCCCTCCCCTCTCCCACCACATAGGCCCAACCAGGCAGATTCAAGAATTAAGTGGAACCAGTTCACTAGTAGCTTTCAGCAGAAGAAGAAAGGTCCCAGATCATCCATGTGGGAACCGGCCCTCGTCTGAAGGCAGGAGCATAGAAGCAGAGCATGTGTTTTCCATAATTAACACTAGATGGCACTCGAGTACAGCTAAACGTGTCTTCACTGCCCTCCCCTGCAAAATGACAATTTATCCTGATACTTGCTCTCATGTATAAGCATTTACAAAATATCGTGATCCATGGCATGTTTGCCCTTTCCTTGGGGCCTGAGCTCTCAGTCATTCCAGTAGATCCAAGTGCGGTTTTAGCTCTCTACTGTTTCATGTTGGGGTCATAAATCGGAACTGCGTCAAATGCTGGCATTTGCAATCAAAGGGAGTGTGGTCGCCTAACTTCACTAGGACTTTGTGCAATTAAAAGTGTTTCTTTAGCACATATGTACTGAAGCCACCAATACCATCTCTGGTTTGCTGACAACCTTACAGCCAGAAAAGAAACCAGAAGCTTTCTCAGAAGCTCTTAAAACCTGGAGTTAAAGCAAGGAAATGAAGTGACCAAAGTCTCTAGCCCTTCACCCTTTCCTACAGCTCACGTTTTAAAGCCAAACATGTGTGTGCCTGTGTGCTTGTGCGTGCGCATGTGTGTTTGTATGTGTTTGCAAGTGCATGTGTGTGTGTTACAGAAAGTTTATGTAACTGTGGAGAAATCCTCTTGCCTCGCTCTGCACACACCACGGTCATTTTAACCAGCTGCCACAAGCTATTAGAACAGAATTAGTTCCACTAAATCCCTGAGCCTGCTTCACTGGGTCTGTGCGTTGTGGGAGGGGAGAGAGGGTATGAATTCTGAGCCTGAGAGCTCGGGACCTTCCCTGGTATGGGGGCTAGGAAACCCAGTAGAAGCAATATCTTTGGTCACATTTCACATTTACTAGCTTAAGGGGGAGGTAGCATCGTTCACTCTTGTGTGAGTGATTTTCTTGATGGATGTGCAATGGTAGGCAGGCAGGAAGGACTCCCCCCCCAGTCGGCACACATATTCATGTGCCAGCCACTCCTGCCCTTCTTCCCATCACTTCTGACTGACCCTGTTAGGGTGCCAGAAAGCATGGAGGGGGAATGCAAAATGGGACAGTCCTCTTCTCCCAGCAAGAGTGCTCGAGGCGGACTAAATATATCCTCGGGCTTCAGCCCGTGACTCACGCTGCTATTTTCACGTCGCTTTCACCTCCTTCCGCCTCTCACCCAGAAGTTTCAGATGCCAGTGCATCTGGAAAACTCTTGTCAGCCAGGAGAGACACCCGAACCAGTGTTTGGCTGGACCCAGAGGACAGTATGTTAAGTGTAATCCGGTGCCAGACGCAGAGAGAGACAAGGAGCGCAATGCTCCCACTCGGGTGTGGAAGCTGGAGCTTTTGATCTGGTAAAAAGTAGAGCCTCAAAAAGGGATGAGCAGAGGCTGGGAGGGGTGTGGGGCGGGGAGGATGAGGAGGGGATGCTTAATTAGTTTCAGGAACAGCTGCCAACATTCCGAAGTAAGGTACGGTAGCTATTTGACACTGAATTGTCTTTTTCAAATACCTGGAAGAGATGGGTTTGAATGTTTCCAACATAAAAAAACAGTAAGTGTTTGAGTCAAGAGACATCCCAGTTACTCCGCTTTAATCATTGCCTAGCATACTGGGGCCTCCATAACTTAGTCTGATGATTATGTGGGGATGAACAAGACTTTTTTCCATTCTAATTTTAATTCTGTGGTGGGATAAAACATGTTGACAAAAATACAATTTAGGGGTGACAGGGATCATTCTGCTCCCAATTCCAGGTTACAGCCCAACGTTCCAGGGGCCTCACATTAGTGGTTTGTCATACCCCAGGGGATGAAAATTTTTAACACGTACATACATTATGTTTTAAATTCCACCCAGGTGAAGTCTGAGCACGGATTCTGTGCCAGACACTGGCTCCAGACTATTTTTGGAACACAGGGTGGGGTTGTCATTCGAAAGCAGCGCATGGAGTGGGGGTGGGGTGTTCTAGCTAATTTCTTGGCAAAGGTTTGATCATCTCACCTTGGGGAATCATTCCTTCCTGCACTTGAAGCTTTCCTTGTATTTGCAAATCTGTAAAAGAACAAGCCGGGCACCTTTGAGAACCACTCGTCACAGCCAACTCCTGTGGCCACGATAGCCAGAAAATGCTCGCCTTTGCTCCTACCTTCTTCTCTGGAGCCCAGGAAGTTAGACAAACCCATGGGACTAACGTGGGCCAGGGACGCAAGCCAGTGATGTGTGTTCCTTTCGGATCACGCATTCTTCCGACTGTTCTTGCCTCAACCCAGCAAACCAGAACAGCCATAAAGTTCCTCATGGTGCGGGTTCAAGGAGAGGCCTTTGCCCTACAGCCCCGCCTGGATGTGGGTGTGCAGAAGCCTTAGGTCTGTGTGCTGTGACCTTGCCGAGTGAGGGGGAAGCATCCTCTACTATCCAGACACATGCCAGCATAGAGTGCTGCCGTCTAAACATCTGTTATGCACTGGAACAAGTGATGAACCACCTATGATTACCCTTAGGAAGTCCATGGAAACTGCTCTTTAAACAGCAGTCTTAATAGTTTCTATGTAGAATATTCTGCCTCCAAATGCAGTCAGTTATCAGGCGAAGAGCTGGCTTGTGGGTCACTCAGGCATCATTGCTTCACTTCAAGCAACACAAAATTGAGAGACAACCTAACTTCAATCCAGCACGCTTTATTTTTTTTCCACCTTTTTTTATTTTCAATGATCAAGTATTCATGGTGTTGTAAACCCAGGTTTATTAGTTCTTTGACAGTCAGTTTCATTAAACATAAAGAAATAAGTCATACACCCCTTGACATTACCATAACAGGTTTCCAAATAAATATTGGTTCAAAAAAACCACAAAATCAAACTCTACATAATAACTGAAAGCAGCCTTTCATCACAGACTTGCCTCTAAAAAGAAACACACAGACAGACAGATGGACAGACGGGTACAGACAGACACACACATACATCACTCTGCAGATATCCTAATGCGTTTGCCACGGCTTCACGTTTCCTTATCCTACAAAGTTAAAGGCTGACTTGGGCTTCATGCTCCTAGATTAACATTTGGGTTTGGGGTCGAGGTATATATTTTATGAAAAATGCCCACTGCCAAGCCTGACCCTTTCGCTTTGTTTAATGCACCCTTACCATTACCTCAGTTTTTCTTAACTTTTGACAGGTACAGTAAACTACCAGTAAAAGACGAGAGCATTGAACCCCAATGCAAAAAAAAAAAAAAAATAGCTCACAGGGCTTAAAGCTTCCTGGAGAAGATAGAAGACTATCTAAATAGGTTTTTATCTCTCTGAAATTACTTTTAGCATCTGTTTATTCTTGCTAAGCTAAATATCAAAAGCACTGACTTTTCCGTAGGAAAGGATTCTCCCATAGGCTTCTCATTTTTGCAGTGTAGAGTTGGTGGGCTGTGGCAATGAGAGCCGAGGGGGCTTGTTCTCTGGGGGAAGCCCCAGGTTTCCAAACACAAAGCACATGCAGCCCCTTGTCGTCGAAACACTGAATTCAGAGAGAAACATGCATCTCTTAATACTTTAGCACCAAGGCATTTTGCTTTTAATGTTGTCAACGCCAACAGCGATAAGGTGAGCTTCTGGTCACCTTTGACCTTCCTTAAGGCTGAGTAAAAATGAAGTGCTTAAATTAAACCTCTTCCGACCAACACAAATCTGATTGCAATGCCGCAGGAAGTCTGGGACAGACAAAACTGGCAGCATCCTCTTCACTTCTGGGGGAAGAGTAGACCAGGGCTACCACTAAAAATGACTAAAGAGGACGGGGGTGACAAAATGCACCCGGCTACTAGCCTCTCCTGTCAGCCACCTCCCACCCCCAACTGTGGAAGAGAAAACACAGACGTGAGAGATTCCTCACAAGTCTGGAGAGCAGATTACTGAGCCTGCCTTCCAGGCTATTCTGGGGGTTACAGTATTGCGGTTTCTATCTGCTACTTAGAATACTCAGCATGTACCTATGCAGCAAATCACATTCTGCACCTTTGGGACGGGGACACGCACGCACCCTAGGCAAGCGCTTGCCTTGCTCTGGGGCTCACGGGAGAGTTCCCACAGGGCCTCTGGGTCCCTCCACACTGTGCGGCTGTTCCTTGGTGCACACAGGGGTCTACAAAGCAGCCTCAAAAAATAAAAGACACCTCCTGGTTATAAGTTCAATAAAGATTGAGCTGGAATTGTGGACCACACAGGAAATTCTGGTGGGTTGGTGAAATGTAGGATTCCTGAGACCCTCGGGAGCCCTACTCTGTAGCAACTTCTGCGGTGTTAGTTCCCTGAGTGGAAGGATGCGGGTACTGCCACGGTCACTTGAGGTAACAGACGGGGTCGGTGGCTTGTGTATATTTCCTATGTTCTTTTTGAGTCTTTGTTAATAATCTGAAAACTCATAGTTGTCTACAAGCAGAAGTGTTAATCTACTGACGAGAGAAAAGTATAAATAACCCCAAAGCTGAGATACAATTGGTCAAAACTAAGCTTTTTTTTTTTCATAAAAAATTCACTTCAGGAAATTCTGCTAAGATCCTAATTAATACCAAAACTGGATGTGTTCTCAATTAAACACAACCTATAAATAAACATTTGAGGTATGTTATAACAAATGATTTTAATATCATACTTGGCTACATAAATGAAATTTACCTTGAAAAATCTAGTGAAACATTGAGTGTGGATGGCTCCCACAGGTATGTGCTATGCTTTTTTTCTACTTATACAAGGAAATGTCTCTATTTTGAAGAATGTCCCTAGTGTTCCAAAACAGTAGTACATCAGAAAGTGGCATGTGCTCACCTACTTTACATTTTCCTTTTGTTTGTGGTGACCTGTATTCAATCTCGTAAGAAGCCAACAGTTTAGTCAGAGAGAGCTGTCTCAGTCTGTCGCTGCCCCAGCCTGTCGCTGCCCCTTGACGCCATCCTAAGTGACTGACTTTAACATTCTGAGCCTCAGGTTCAAATCCGTTTACAAAACAAACAAACGGACAAAAATCCACTCCAGAGAAGGCTGGGGCGCTGCTCAAGGAAGAACACGTGCTTAGCGTATGCAAGGCCCTGAGCTCAAGCCAGCACCACGGAAGAGAAGTGTGTTTGCATGTTCTTGAAGAGAGAAATGCAATGGATGCTGAATGTTGGGAAACTATTCTGGAAACAGCCACCACACCAAGTGTTAGTCTGTTTCCGCACCACCCCTTCTCCCCATCCCCACAGTGTTCCCAAGGACTTTGACCATTTTTTTTTTTAAGCATTAACTCCACCTCCAAGGAACAAGACATCACACGAAGGAAGAAAATCAAAATATGTTCTCCAACACCCTCTTCCCTTGGCCCTTGGGAGTTTCTAAATCAATGATCTGGATATTATATTTGCATATTAAAGCGAAACAACACATTAATTCATAGAGCTGAAGGGAGAGCAAGGAGTCCTTTTGTCAAAACAAGTGATTCAAAGCCTCTGCTCCGAGAGCAGCAATTAAAGTTCTTGTTAGGAGCTGTGGCTCGAAGTGACCAGCCAGGGTACCAGAAACACAGAAGACCTCTTCTATTGTACGACCGAATGGTGCTAACTACGAAATAGTCAACTCCTTGGCTATGTAATGTTCTGACGACGCGACCAGAGTCTAAAACATTTGGAGAGCAACCTTTAATTGCTAACTACCCAGAACTTCATTCCCTTCTGACGTCACAACTCACTCCACGTTCAGCAACAGCGCATTCACAGTATCAGGAGCAACTATTCACAAACGGGCATGCGCATCTCAGGTCACCGTCTCTGCATTCTGGCCTCAGCATCCCAAAGAGCAGTAAGTGTATCAACACATGACTGGTGCCCAGGCAGCAATTGCTGAACTGAATCCAAGGAAGAAAGGAATGAGGGCCTTTCAAATTATCCCTGGTGAATCCATTCACCCTAATGCCAAACCAGGACCGGTTCCACCAGAAGTCTCTTAAGTAAATCTTAATTATCACAGAAAAATAAAGCAAGCACTACCACTCCCAAATCTACAAATCTCAGCATCAACATTAAAGGAAACTATCCCTTCTAAAGGCCTACGATGGCAAAGAGGGACACTGAGTCCCTAGAGGACACCCTCGGGAAATCTGCGCTATTTTATGAAATCCTTTAATGTTTGTTACACCAGACAAAATCTGATACACTAAGCTAAGCACGGCTGCACACCTCCCTGACAGCCAAGCCCAGGAGTCCAAGCGAAGTCCTTCCCACCTGGTCACTAACTCTATTTTATATACATTATTCAGCCTGATAGTGAATGCCCCCTCCACAAATTCCATGTCTCCAGAAAACCACTTGAATAGTGCCCTTGCTACAAGGGTGACAGGAAGTCATATATATACCTAGGAATATCCCTACAAGTCTACTTGTGTGGCCCATCAAGAATGTCGGTGCAAAGACCTGACTCATAGTCAGTCTGCTAGCCACCTCTCTTCCAGACAAGGAAACGTTTCCCAAGTTCTCCTTACGTGGCATGAGATGCTGACAGAGAGGTCTCAACTTTATGACACATTGGGCCTTTTGGTCCCCTGCAGCTCAAAGACCGTCAAGAGACCTCTGTCTTAAGACCCATACAGAAAGCAACCGAGCAGTGCCAAAGACAAGCAACAGCGTTGTCAATGAACAACTGTCAAAGAAACCAGGCTGTCTTTCGGAAGGGAAATGTCCTTTCTCAGGATCACCACAGAAAGAATATGAGCGCAGAGATGCAAGGAGGATCGTGAATTGAGGCTAACGTGGAGAAAGAGGATTCAGTACGGTAGACTCATTTGCTTTACCATTCAAACTCATTACTTAACGTAGGATCACATGTTGTGTTCCGTTAACAAATCTCTCATCTCCTCAGCAGTGACTGTAATATCCCAGGTACAGCTTCCCTGACTGAAGTACTCATTTTCTGAAGCAACCACGGTCATTTTCTATCCAGAAAACAAAACAAAACAAAACAAAAAAAAAACAGTAGAGACTTGCCAGTATGTTGAGGCTATCATGAAATAAATCCCCAGAAGGGACTCAATCTTACCCCAGGAATTCCTTTATCCACTACTTTGAATGTCAAGATAGTAGTAACTCTTAGCAACATTTAGTGGGTCCTTCATAGCTGGGTTTTGACAGCCACTTCCTCAGATGGGAAAGCCGTTTCCTTCCTTATGAAGCATCTCAAATTATAGGTTCTAACCATATTGTTTAGCACACTAGTTTTAAAGCCCCTTATGAAAGAATACTGTAGTTTAAATAGTCAAGCTATCAGATGTATGATTCAGCAGCCTCTTGATCTACCTTATGATGGAGTAAACAGACTAAGAAGAAAAACAGATCTTAGGAAATTGGTTGTCATTCATTACCTTGTGGCATACAGTTCTTTGAAGCATTTGAAATTTTTTCTACCTGATTGATACGTCTGCTATGGCTTAAAATGCTATTAACAGCGCTTTAGGGAACATTCAGCTTCCACTTATCAAAAACATCTGCTTTATTCTGTGAAAGCCAAAGGGGCACGCCACACTTCTATTGTTCCGATCAGATTGCATAGTTGAGGCAAATTGTGCTTTGGAGCGGAACCCACACGGTAGGTGCTCAAACCTAAGAACTCCGCCTTGCCAATGCAAAGTCATGGTCCAGCTCACCTTCCTCTGGAGGGTAAGCTAATGATATGTGTGGTCACAGCCTTGCCCATGGTTCGCCACGAGCCTCAGGCTTCTACCATACAGGAGCATGAAGTGAACCCAGCAAAAGTGGTAACCGACGTATCTAAGCTCCACCCTGGAAAAAGAGAGGGGAAAGCTGTCAGTCTTGTTGAGGTATCCAGCCCTCAATCAACAGTGGCCGTGTAGACTGAGTTTTGTTGGTTTGAGGATTGTGTCTGTAGAGGTTTTTTTTTTTTAAAAGAAAGTAAGAAGGCACAGGTGTTTCTCAACTCGCCATATTCAACTCAACCAACAAAACAGGTTTTCCTTTTCCAGGCTTCCGCAGGGATGCTACAGAGCAGAACTGGGACTCTCGTCCAGCCCCGGATCTGCAGACCAACTTATTGCTTCTGGGAAAGGCCCAGGATAGGTCTGTGTAGTGCCCGGGAATCCCTTTGGCAGGCCAGTTTCTTCATGAAATTCCGCTTGGGTGCTGAAGGCTGGGCAGGATGTAGTCCGGGCGTATTTCTCCGCTTGGTTGGCCTGGCCCACTACCCCACTCACAGTGCTCAGCGGGAATTCTCTACACCTCCGCCTCTGCAGTTCATCTTCTTTGTATTTGATAGAGTACCAGGCCAGGAAAATAAAAATAAAGCCCACAAATTTGAGGCCAGCTGCCAAACCGAAGTAGACGAAACGGAACGACGTCACGTTGTACTCCCAGCAAGACCCCTGCACTCCACATTCTTGCTGCCAGAGCATACAGGTGGTGTCAATCACAGCTCCAAAGTAAATCGGAGTAGGAATGTACGCTGCAGCCATGGGAAGAAAGAGAAACACGAAAATATAGCACATTCCATAGGAGAAAACAGATTTGTCATTAGCAAGGTTTGTCCGATGCCGAGAATGATTCTTGTTTAATGGAATTTTCTTAAAGACATTTTTCATCTAATTGCAGTGAATTGTATTTAATTGCAACTTATGAAAATAAACAGCAAGTACTTAGCTTCTTCCGCTTGACAGCTCAGACTGCCTTAGTGCTGTTTAGGTTGTTAAAAATAACTATTGCTTTCTATGGTTACCAAGTCCTTACACTGAACACTTTAGATACAGTTTTGACAGTGAGACTTCAGTAGAGTTGAAAGAACTGTCTATGGCCAACATGAAATATTTTCAAACTTAAAATTGGTTCTTGTTCCCCTTAAGTCAGGCTGGAGCAGGATGCGGAATGTTAAGGGGACGTGGGAATGAACAGAAGCCCTTCGCACCGGGGTCTGGTCTAAGTCTCTTGAAGCTTAGAGTCAAGAATTTCAGCACAAAGGGCTGGGAAGGTGGCTCGGTGGATAAAGGGCATGCTGAGTATTTATGAGGACAGGAATTTAGATCTCTGGAACCCACATTAAAAAACTAAAAAGCTTCTCATGACAACTTTTATCTAACACCCCAGAGCTGAAAGCAAGAGGCAGGCAGATTCCCTGAGGGCTCCCTGGCCAGCAAGTGCAGCCAAAATATTCAACTAGTTCAGGTTCAGGGAAACCATGTTTCAAAAAAGACGATAGAACCACGTGTGGATGCACATGTCTTTAATCCCGGCACTCAGAGTCAGAGGCAAGAGGATCTCTGTGAACTCAAGACTAGCCTTGTCTACATAGTAAGTTCCAGGCCCATGGGGATTATGTAGTCAGACCCTATAACAATAAATATATAAATAAAGTAAAGAAACAATTAGGAAGATCTCTAAATGTCAACACATAAAGAACCTCAGCACAATTAACAAAATAAACTAGAAGGATTTTCTACATAAAGATAATATTCGCTTATATAGAGGTATTTCAAAAAAGAATGTTAAAATAGCAATAAGGCATGCAAAGGGCCTTCATGTAAAGGAACTTCCCTCTTTCTCAATTGAACACCTGTTTTTTGTTTGTCTGATTGAGAATATCACAGACGAGATCTCAATGACCTTGTTTATAGTCAGAAAACATCTTAACTCCATGACATCCAGTCTAATGAGGGTTTTCAACCCCGTGACCTGGAGTTTTGTCTAATCAGCCTATAATCCCATTCAATACACTTCAGAAACCACCCTCTGATCTCATTTACTGAAAAAAAAACTTTTTAAAAAAGTTTCTTAAAAGTTCTTAAACACAGTAAGTTCATAAAACACCAAAATTGGATATTTGGCTACTGGTAAGACATTAGATTGCAACTCTCTCCTGAGAAGTCCAGGACCACACCTGCCTGCCGACTGTCTTTGTCCTAAGCGCCTCCCGCTAACATGGGCCATGCTCAAGTATGATCGCATGTCTGCTTATAGCTCTGCTGAACTTCCTACTGACTCGCCCTGAAAGGCTTTGCTGTAGCGCAGTGAGCTTGGCGGGCTACTAAAAGATACTGCGTGGAGCTGCAACTTCCCCTGAGCCCCACTGCAGCTGACAAGCCCCACTTCAAATGGGGACGTCACCAAGGTATTCGGTGTGTGGAGATAACTGTGGCCTACAGTCCATCTCCGAAGCTTCTCAAAGATCGGGGAGGGGCAGAAGCTCTGCTGTCTGGGCTGTGTGTAACAGACGCCTCTTCCCACTACAAAAGAAAGCAAGCTTAACTAGCTAGAAACCCTCACACCCTTTGCCAAAAAATGTGCCCCCACCTCTAACTCATTCATCTGGCTAACGGCTGGCCATTTCTCCCTTCAACCCCTGGGTCGCAAGGACAGCTCTCTCTGCTGCACTGTGTCTTGTACGTACTGCTGCTTTTTCAACTACCAAAGAGCACTGGCTTAAAGCCTCTGCCACTTCTCACCCCATAAAGTCCTTGACACAGCACCTACTCCTTTTCGTGCTGTGCACCCTAAGAATTGTGTGACAGCCCATGACTGCTCAGTGTACAGAGGTAAGGGAAGGCAGCAGGGAAGGAAGGAGGGAAGGGAAGAAAGAGGGATGAAGTGAGAAAGGACATAAAGGGCCAGGTGGTGATGGCTCACACGCAGTGATGGCACACACGCCGTTAATCCCAGCGCTCAGGAGGTAGAGGTGAGTGGATCTCTGTGAGCTGGAAGCCAGCCTGGTCTACAGAGCAAGTTCCAGGGCAGCAAAGGCTACACAGAGAAACCCCATCTCAGAGAGAGAGGGAGAGAGAGAGAGAGAGAGAGAGAGAGAGAGAGAGAGAGAGAGAGAG